TGTTCTCCAATGGATTCAGCACGGAGTCAGACTAAATTTTGTTGGTACCAAGCATTCTCCAGTTAAAAAGATTATAGAAGTTAGGCATATGGTAAAAAGCGTCTACTCTGCCTCGGCCTTCAAAAGAGTTATCTTGTGTGAAAAACCTCCTCCAACCTCAATTCTCAATCATTCTTTCCTTCCTCATCATAAGTCCTTCATTTCATCTTCAGTATCTCAACTCCTTGCTTGTGGAGTCATTGAGCACTCCAAAGAACCTCTAGTTGTTAACCCGGTTTTTGCTATTGAGAGCTCATCCAAAACAAGGTTCATTCTGGATGTTAGATTTGTTAATCTTTTTCTATCCTTTCCGAAATTTCACGATGAATCTATCAATGATATCGTAGCTCCTCTTTGTGGTTCACAAACTCAAGATTTTCTGACTTGTTTTGACATAAAAAATGGTTACTATCATATACCAATCCATCCTGAGCACAGACCTTACCTCGCCTTCTTCTGGGATGGAATAACTTACCAATTTACTACCCTTTGCTTTGGCATTTCTGCCGCATGCTGGATCTTTACTACAGTAATGCAATAAATCATGGCGGAACTTCGTCTCCGTCAAATTTTTATCACCTCTTACATTGATGATTCTGCTTTGGCAAACTCAAACCTTCCACTCATCCTCTGGCATTTTTTCAACTATGTAGCCCTTCTCCACAATTTAGGTTTTTGTTTAAGCCTTAATAAATGTTCTTTTTTACCTTCACAATCCATTAGATTCTTAGGATTTACAATTGACTCTCATCACAAAAGAATCACAGTTCCGCATGATAAAGTCGAAAAGATCTTGGCCCTCATTACTTCAACCTCCAATACTACCACCTCAAGTAGAAACTTAGCTAAACTTGCTGGAAAACTCGCTTCTCTCATGCAAGCCTTTCTCCCAACCCTTCTTTTCACTTCGTCCATTTATACATCAATTTCTCCGAAAAATTGGGACTCACCAATTTTCATCTCTGACTCCTTAATGCAAGACCTTATTTGGTGGACTGAGCACCTTCCTCACCTTCCTGGGCGTCTTTGGGTTAAAAGAACAATTACCACCACTATCTCTACAGACGCATCAGCCACTTAAATTGGTGCCATCATCACTCCTTCCTCAGCCCCCCCCCTCCTTTTTAATCAATGTCTTCCTGAATATCTCCTCCCAACTTCTTCCACGCATAGAGAACTCTTTGCGGTACTTCAAACCCTTCTTCTCCTCCAAAATTCGCATCCTCATCTTCTTTTTTCATCCGCCATCAGACTTCTTTCGGACAACCAATTTGCAATAACACTACTCAGCAATCTCCGTTCCCCTGATCCCCTGTTTAATCACTTGCTTCGACTTATCTCTTCCTTACTTATAACCTATGATTCTTGTCTTTTTCCAAATGGGATCCCCAGAAATCTCAATCAAATCGCAGATGGCTTATCCAAAACCCAGGATAATACAAATTGGGGCATCTCCGCTCACTTAAAGAACAACATTTTCAAATCAATAGGTGTTCCTGCAATTGATCTTTTTACATCAGACTACCACCACGCTTGTCCTGTCTTTGTTTCCAGAACTTGGTCCTCATCCGCTTATTTCGTAGACGCGCTGTCACTCGATTGAAATTCTCTGCTTGACTCACCTTATAGGTGACTTTTCCCCCCAACCACTCTCATCCATGAAGTTATGTCCCTAGCCTCAGCCGCCCCCGCCAACTACCTATTTATATTTCCAGATTCGCGTAAGGCAAATTGGTTACCCAGAATCCTTTCTCTTAAGATTTCCCAGACCTTTATCATTCCAAAATTAATTTACTCCTGCATCCCAAGCCCAAGAATTCATCACACTTGCCCAAATCCAACCACCATCGGTCTTGCCTGCATCTTGTTCTCTACCTAATTCCCCGCACCACTCTTTTCATTTCCCTCTAGAGCATCCCCGCTCCGCTTCCACCCCCTTTTCATTCCATAACCATACCGCATGAACGTACCAACACTACTCCATGTTCCCTGCCGCATCATCTCTCCCAAACTCCATCCCTCCTCTATCCCAGCCTGCACACCCCCAATTTGGAAGCTATGTCCACTCTCTCCTTCGTAAACTCTGGCCTCTCCAAACCACTTCTCTATTCGTTTATCAAAGGCACCCCCGCCAAGTGCACTAATTCCGCGACCAGCTCGGAACAGATATCCAGTTCATAAATCTACCCCCACATTTTCATACAAAACTATCAATTCGGGCAGTATTCCTAAGAAGGTTTCTTCTCCTTCCATAGCCTTCTTCAATCGTATCAAGAATCGACCCCCATGTCGATCCATCTTAGTATAGTCAGGTCTTACCAAACAATTCCAAACATCAATCTCCTTATATTGCAATCGCAAACCTTCTCCGCATCGCTGTCAACTTTCTCATAAATATAGGAACATAGCCGCATCGCGGTAAGCCTCAGCTTCTCGCATTCTCTTCAGCACCTTTACCTTACATCTTATATAGTCAATGACAATTTTTAGTTTTTCCCAAACTAGCGGTCGCGCAAATTCCTCTATAACCCCTCTTGCCAATCCATACTCCCTGTATGCTTTTCTGAATGCCTTTACACGGCTTCCTTGGCAAGGATCATCTCCCTCCTCCCTGCCTAGCTCCTGCCCACTTCATTACGTTCCAACCACTCGTTCAAACCAACAAGCAATTTTTTCATTCCACTTCGCCATCGCTTCCCTGACCCGAACTCTTCTATCAGTTTGCTGCTCCATTCTAGTCCCGCTTGATAACTCCCAGCTATTTGCGGCGTCGCTCGCTTCTGCCTCCAGCTTCCATCGCTCATTCGCTCGTTCCACCACTCCCTGCAAGATGACACGTCACTTGTGGGATGATGGAGGGATTTGGGGAGGCATAGGAGGTGTGTGGGCCTACGGCCCCAACTCTATGACTCACTTCTGAGCATTCGGCCTTCATCAAGGACTTCGTTTTTTTCCATTTTATCTCGACAAGACCTAGGCAGCAACTGTCCTACTCGAGCCCTTCTAGTTGGTACCTACTCGACAGGCCAAGATGCAACCATCGCTTCAAGCATTTGTCAAGATACTTTTCCTTTGGTCACTTCAGCTTAATTGTCTCAGGAGGCCTCGTCACCGACGATCTTCAGTTTCAACAGATGGCACTATTTTCTAAGATTTCAACTTCTTGTTCTCCTAAAAATCAACTGTCTCCCGGAGGCCTTCTCATCGTTGATCTTCAGTTCCAACAGTAAGGCACGATTTTCCTAATTTTAAATCTTATTTTCAGAATCCACGGATGGGTGAGTGTTGAGGCCAAGATCTACGAAAGGACTCAGTGGAACTTACCCTGTGGGAAGAAGACCCTCTGAGGACCGACCGCCACTGGACCCTGGAGCAGGGAGAGTATAAGTAACCGGCACGTGACCGGTCGCTGCAGGCTGACTCGACTCACGCGGAGCGGCTTCGGGATTTCGTCCGCCGGCAGCTGCGCCCATCGCATAAGCAAACCTGCGGTCACAGCACAGCCACCAAGTCTGCTCAGAGGCCGAGTTGTTTTTCTCGCCAAGATCTTGGCGAAGCGGTCCCGCCCACCCTCAATTTTCCCGCGGTGTGTGGGCCTGCGGCCCCAACTCTATGACTCACTTCTGAGCATTCGGCCTTCATCAAGGACTTCTTTTTTTTCCATTTTATCTCGACAAGACCTAGGCAGTTGCCTACCAAGACCACAATTCAGGGAGCAGTTGTCTTTTTTTTTTTTTTTTTTTTTTAAGCCCTTCGACGGAAAGAAGGGCCATTAAAAATTGTTGTAAGCTGCTCAGTGTGCTCAGCCCACGGTATTCTTTAGTAAAAGGCCAAAGAATAGTACGTCATGTGAGCTGGGCACGCAGCTGAATGAGGGAGCAGTTGTCTATACTATGTACATGCACCAGTCGAGCCTTGTTTATGCCATAATATTCTGTGTACCCCCCCACCCCAGAAGATAAAAATCTGCTTCTCCCAAACCCGAAAACACAAGCCTCCCAAAAAAAAAAACAAAACAAAAAAAAACAACAACAAGCCTCCGCAAAGCCCGCCCGGCTGCATGACTCACAATGCCAAACACAGCCTTTCTGAACCCGAGCTCCACATCAATAAACGACAGACCGTGGCTGCGCCACCACGCCACGCGTAGCGTGGTCTAACAGTGTCTAATGGCCAATATTGTCGCTGCATGGCAACCAACAACATCAACCAAGGTCCTGCCAATGAAGCTTCCCACCAAGGCAAAGTGGCAAACTAAATGGCCAACAAATAATTTTAAAAGTCTTCTACTGGCCGAAGGGCAGCTACCTCCATGAAAACGAAGACAATCGACACTACCGTCTTCCCCCGAACATAACGCACCCCAAAAATGAATGTATACAAGCTATATTTCCAGCCAGATACAGCCAAAATGAGGGTGCGTTGTGTTCGGGGGAAGACGGTAGCACTCGATACGCACTCGATACGTAAAGGATCAACGACTGACGTTTCTCACGGAAGGCCGCACGTGGTCAAAAACCAAAGAGCACAGGCCTAAATAGGTCCTAGTCGGTCCGAGCCCCTGGGTGCTTGTGATTTTTTTTTTTTTTTTGATTCGAACACGGCTCTGTATTTCAACAGTTCAATGGTGTACCTTGGGTGCTTGATTTATGAAATGGAAATTGGATTTTGAGGAAAGAAAAATATAAAAAATAAAAATCTTGGAGCCAATCAGGAACGAACTCCAGTGAAGCAGCCCGCCATGACACGCGGGGAGGGCTAGAGAGGGCAAGAAGTGGGCCAATGGTCATGATGGACGTAGAATAGGCCCCGTACTAAGGGGTCATGATGGAGCGAAAATAGGCCGACCAGTACCGGTAGATCCTACCGCAGTGTGTGTGTTTGTCCGCAGTGGTGCATGCTTGCGTGGGTGCCGTTGCACGCGTTCGTGCGTCTGCGTGCGTTTGGGTGTCGGTGTGCGTGCGTGCGTGTGTGTGTGGGCGGGGTGCTGTGCTTGCCACACACACACACACACACACACACACACACACACAGACAGAGAGAGAGAGAGAGAGAGAGAGAGAGAGAGAGAGAGAGAGAGAGAGAGAGAGAGAGAGAGAGAGGTCCGTGGGGAAACATGAGCAGTGTGCTGCGCTAGATTGATGCTGGAAGCCACCAAGAGTCGAACGTTCTTTTTCTTGTCGAAGGAGCGGCGAACAGCTCCGCGCGAAAGAGGTAAGCCGCGATCTTATCCTTTCTCCTCCTCCTCCTCCTCCTCCTCCTCCCCTCTCTTTTGCTGTCGACTCTCCATCTTTCGAAATCTTGTCGCAATATCCGTGTGCACCTGATTTACCCATCTCTCTTCCCCATGGCGACCTAAGCTCCGGCTCCTTCAGGTCCCGTCATTGCGAGGAGCTGTGAATAGCTCCGCGCGAAAGTGGTTCACTGCTCCTCCCGAAAGAGGTAGACCGCGATCTCCTCCTCCTCCTCCTCCTCCTCCTCCTCCTCCTTTGCCTTTGACTCTCCATCTTTCGACATCCTGTCGCAATATCCGTCTGCACCTGCTTTACCCATCTCTTCCCCATGGCGACCGAAGCCCCGGCTTCTTCATCTCCCGTCATTGCAGACTCGCCCCTCGCTCTGCTTGCGAGCCATTTCTCTCGATCTCTCTCATTAACATTGTTGGTTCAGTCCAGACGACCAGCTTATGCCAAGTCTTGTTGATTTGTGTTTGTCTCACACACGCGCACACGCGCACACAGGCACAGAGAGAGAGAGAGAGAGAGAGAGAGAGAGAGAGAGAGAGAG